CTCATCCTTGCACCTACCACATAAAAGCTTGAAAATATGAACTGCGAAGTTTTAAACGCAAGATCACAACGCGCGCACACACACAAAGACTCCACCATGTTGCAATGTCATTGCCCTTAAATTAATTAATTAATGTCAGGATTTGGGGTCTGGAATCTCAGGTTTTACACTGCTTCCTCCCTGAGAGCTGCCACTGCCTTTTCTGTCACCGTGGGCTTGGGAAGTGTCACTCGTCGCAGTACACAGCGCGCTCGGACAGGCGGAAGGGAAAGGGCAGAGAGTCGTTATTAATTGCTGCTGCACAGTGGCATTTGCACCGCACGCCTTGGCAAGGCAGCTCCTCTCTTCTGCCTCAGGTGAGATGCCCACGCTCTCTCTCTGGGCAATGCTTTTAATTACTCCCCTGCTGCCCACAGAGCAGGCAGGAAGGTGTAAAAGCAGCAAGAACAAAGCTAAAGCAGGAGCGCCTGGGCCCCTGGAGTGTCTGCCCCAGCACAGGGGCACTCCAGCTCTTCATCCTGCAGCCTCCACAGGGGCACAGCCTTCCCAGACATCTTCTCTGGCAAAGACCATGGAGAAAGCTGTTCCAAATGACTCATGGACCAGAAGTTCAGGGCAGCTGGGCAGTGTAACATAGCCTAGCTTGTCTGCTGAAGGGGCTGGGAATGCACGCCACTTTTGGAGGACTGGAAATTGTAACCCTGTGGACCAAGGTTCTTGCATGAGAGCAGACTAACACCAAGCAGGAGACCTGAACTGACAGGGCAGTGAGCTGACTGCAATGCTCCTGCCTCAGCTGTTGCTTCCTGGGGAGGAAGGCGGAAAAAGAGACATTTCCAAGGCACAGGCGGGTGAGAACGCCAGCAGCAGCGCCGGCGGTGAGGGATCACCATGGCAACCGGCAATGCAGGGCCTCAAGGTGGAGAGCTAAAATTAGGAAATTAGGCAGTGGAAAGGGCTGTTTGTCATCTCTAGCAGCATCCGGTGCTGAGGAGTTGGACCCCCACGCAGAGCAAGCACAGATGTCGGAAGCATTTCTGAGTCCTTGGCCACGCCTGGACCAAGTGTGACTTGACACGTCAATATGGTGCCACAGAGGGTCTGCATGGGGTCCCAAGGTCCTGCAAGGTGCTGTGCCTGCTCTGCACTGTGGGGCTGCATGGGAACGGTGCAGTGTCTGCAGCAAGATATAGCAGTGATTGTATGCGTGACAGAAAAGGGGCATCATGGCTCTTTGCCTTCGTGAGGGAACCGCTCACTGCAGCCCTCCCTTGGCTGCTCCCTGCCCTGGCCCCCACTGAGCCAGGACTGGTGTCACTTGGTGGGAATGGGGACTTTTCCAACTAGCCTGTGAAAGCTGAAACCACAAACAATTCAGCAACAAAGCACCTCTGTAAGAAAGAACAAGCTTCCACCTGCAGAGACGAGCTGTGCAAGCAGCTCAATGTCCATGGTGCCCCACTGCCTGAAGGGAGCAGCAGGGATTTCGACCATTACACATGTTCTGGGAAATATGCAGGGAGGTCTCCCTGCTACAAGGTGAGGAGTTAACGTGCTTCAAAACAACCCCTCAGATTGCTTTTAGCTTTCTGTACATCTTTGCATAAAAAATATCCTCCTGGAGATCTCAGAAGTCTTCTTCTCAGCAGTCCACACTGCATTGCAGAAATACTGCCTACTGTCCTGCTCCTACTGACATGAGTAAAAACCTTTTCTGCTATCCAGCAGTGACTGCAGGTCTCTTTCCTCTTTTGGCGTCACTTTGTGGAAATCCATAAAATGACTTGACCCTCACATAATGCTCTGTGCTGTTTGCTGTAAAATCAAGACTTTGAGTTTTCACCTTTCCTGATGTGCAAGGAAATCAAAGTGCTCTAAAACCGCAGCACTGAAAGCTCCTATGGGAGACAATCCCATGTATTATACAAACTTGGGTACTACACAGATAAGGCAAAACTAAAGGGAACCAAAATGATGTCTGGGGTTGCCAGACATGCACAGATTCTTGTGCCTCAGGGGAAGCAACAGCAAAAGTTGGGGGGAAGTTTTCAGATATAATCAGTACAATTCACAAAAGATTCCCTCCATGCAGACAGGGAGAAATGAGCATTGCAGCTATGTATTTCAGCCAGTCTACCCTACATTGTCTCATCCAGATCCCTTTTGCCTGTTCCCTGCCATAACTAACAAGTCAGTAGGGTATAAGAAGTCTCCGAATGTGCCAAGGTACCACCTAAAACCAGCAGGGCCTTCACAATTTCTGAACCAACTCAACATCCAGTCATGAAATCTAGCGCCTTGTTCAGCTGTGACCTTGGCAATCTTTGTTTCTCAGTGCAGAAAGATTTGGAGACACAAGGCACAAGGTCAGTGATGCAGAAAGCTGAGACAAGAAGCTATGTCTGACTCCCAAACCTCTCTCCTCTCCCGCTGTGGGGCAGGGAGGGAGAAGTGCTGTGTTATGCTGCAACATTCAAAAAGAGAGGGCTGGGCAGCAGAGCAGCTCGGGGGAGTCAGGAAAATTTAGCAACTCCTGTACAGTGATGGCACTGAGAAAGCATTTGGCTCGTGAATTTCATCCCACTACCCAAGTGTGCCTCTGGGCAGAACAGCACTTTCAGCAGCGTGTCCTCCTGCAGAGCTCGGGGGAGACAAAATCCCACATCCGCTGGAGGGCACGAATGGGCAGCCAGCTCGTCACCTCTGGTCCTTTGTGCAGCTGGCTCTGGCAGCACGCTTGTCCCCTTGTTCTGGTTTACAACTAACAAGCAAAACACTCCTCTCTCCCTGCAAACCTGACCTAATTCCTGTGGCAGCTCCCTGGATCCGCTAACACTCTGGTGTGATGGGGCGGAAATTTGGCAGTGGTGTAAACTGAGCAGATTAGCGTGAAACAAGCAGGCACTCCCGACGTTGGATTTGCCATAAATAGATAGGTAAGGCGAACATTGCAATTTCTCTTCTTCTGGGCTATTGCCTCAGGACATCTGCAAACTCTGGAAGAAAACCCAAATTACCTTTATGTCTTACTTGAAAGGTTTGATTTTCATTTAGCGAAGATAAAATGGAAATAAACCCAGAGAGTGGGGATTGAATCACATCTGATTCCCAGTTCAGCTCACTAATAAAACCTACTTCCCAGGACATCACCACTATTAGGATGGTACTGTAGGCCGTGGAGTGATACACACCCTCTACTCTGGAACGAAACCTGCTATCAGAGGCTGATGAACACACTGGTGCAGGGTTGCACACTTCCTCTGGTCTGGTCTTATTTGGACTCACAGTGGCATCTTCCGGAGCTACCACCTCCCCTGCCCCAGCTCCCCCACCTTGCCTCTGGAAGGCACATGGTACATATCCTGCAGCTCAGACCAGCAAAGGTGTCAATAGGCAGCTCAAAAGGCTCAAAACCAGGCTGTCCCCAAACCAGTTAGTTAAAAAGGAAGAGATGTTTGTCAGGCAAAGTCTGAACCAGAGCTGGATTCTCCAGGGGTCTGTGATGGGATGCATTTGACAATGTTCCCAATGCTAACAATATCCTATTTGAAGGGTGTCAGCATGAGGTCTGTGCTGGATGCAAAGGGGTCCAGTGCCATTTAAACTGTAGCGTTCCTCCTTCCCCCAAATCCTAAAGCCATCCTGCAAGCAGCAGAATTAATGAAG